AATTAAGAATTAAGTTTAGGAAAACGCGATTCATCTTGTTCCGTTTGTTTGTAGTTAAGCACAAAGCTACACAATTGGCTATCTGTGCTCTGCCCACCACGGGTATCGAAATCCGGTTTCTAGTATTGTAAGTCCGCAGACATACCGCTGTGCCACTGGGGCATCTTGTTCTGAGGACAGTACTGCACCTTTATTAAGGTCATCAAGCAAAACATAAAAAAAAAACTACATTTTGAAAATTTTACAACTGGTAGTCTTTTTTGGTATATATATTTATTAAAGAAATCCCGAAAGTTATTCAAATACGTCCAGTCTGAAAACAAAATTAGAGAGAACTATTAGTCTTGTGACAAGTTTATTCATATTTTATTTTACATCACAGTCAGGTTGAAAAAACGCCAATAAAGTCTTATGCCTTGACATCTGGCAAACAGTTCCGTAATACTGCTTTTATCAATCATTATTAATGTAAGGGTGAATATCACCTAATCAACTATAGAGAACACTGATCCAAAATACTTTATATTTACAAAACATAAAATGTAATTCCAATACGTCTAATAACGTTTTTTAAAAATAATTTTTGACTTCGTAAAGTGTGTTGATAAAAAGCATCCACTTCTCACACAGAATGACACAATACATGCATGACAAATACTTAATTTTTGTTTATTGAGGGCTAATCACATCTTCGTAGTAGTTAAAGTCAATATGCATTAACTGCTAATGAAATATAAAATTAGTAAAGGTGATTCTCAGTATAACCTCAATTCCATATTTGTTTATTGACGGAAAAGAAAAATTAAACAACTTAATAATCTCATAGTAAATGTCTTTTGCTTACAAGATGGCGCTGCACAATGTTCTACAATTACCGACAACTATTCTGTGCACGAGATAAATAGATATGAGGCTTCACTTTTCATGAAAACAATATACAGTCCAACAATACCAGTTTAAAATAATGACTACAGCCTCTCGTTTTATGATACCACACAGAAAGAAAGAATTTCTAACTATATGCTTGAAAATTGTAGAAATTATTGGATAGGTAAAATTTCCGGTTTATTCTTTCTAGTCCTTTATTTACAAAATAAACCATTGGATATTATAAAAATTTACAACGGGTTTCACTGGTACTATGAGGCATTATGTTATTACGATACTCCGGACCTTCAATTCATTATATATATATATATATATATATAT